TGTATGTTGGGCCCAAGCCTGTTAGGGCGTAGCTTAGCACTATATATAGACGCTATGGGAAACCCTATTCTGTAATTCTGTTTTTGCCTCTCCATAATAAAACTGCTCCCTCTCTTCCCGTGGACGTAGCCAATTTATTGGTGAACCACGTAAATCTGTTGTCTTGTTTTTCGCGTTTATATTTTCTCGTATTATCTCAAATTCCGCACAACAAGAGGAAAAGCCACGGTTGATATATTCGTATCATAGGCTTTGCTGCTAGATTGTCATCAAAGCAAGTGAATGAAGTCGAGTAGAAACCAGGCTTTGTATCTGCATGGCCTCAGAGGATATTGTCCTTGCACACTACCCATACTCCGAGTTTTCTTGGATAACGTTGGCTTGTGGAGGCTATGGAAAAGGTGTGATCATTGGAGTCTTTGGACACCGGGATTTCCCCTGAACATCCATACCTGTGCGGTTTGAATTACACAAATCAACAAGTGAGAAGCATCGTTAAACACAAAGTGGACTGTAACAAAGTGAAACACATTCCTGAAGCTCAACTAAATTATCCATCATTCTCCATCACACTCGGAGACATTTCTCAGACATATACTAGAACAGTGACTAACGTCGGGGAAGTTAAATCATCTTACAGCGTGGAAATAGATTCCCCACCCGGAGTCACTGTGATTGTTAAGCCCTCTACTCTTAAATCCTCCCAGTTGAACCAGATGTTGAAATACCAAGTGACGTTTACGAGAAGAGATAATAGCACAAACAGTGGTATTGCTCAATTGCAGTTATCCTACAGCCAACAATTGGAACAATGTATATCAAGACTCTGTTAGTGTCTTCAACAGAAAGTATTGTATAATATGAGACAAAAGTACTCATTTTCACAATTTCAAAATGTTTACTACATGAATTAGTACGCCACAAAAGGACAACTTGGTGCACTAAGCTCCCTTTACGGCAAGTATGGAAAAGAGACGGACCTCAAAGATCTATTGTACGCAGCTTTGTCGTGCATTTCTGCAAGGGGCTATTTCCAGCAAACATTACATAAGTTAGTTCAAATAGTTATAGTTCCGAATTTGTTCTTGTAAGTTCTATAATGGCTGAATACATAGTTTAACCCCTGAATATATAAGCGATAAGTATTGAAAAATATCCCTAAACTTAACGTCAGTTATTACTTTGGTCCTCCAAGTATTGACAGCCTTAAAAACATTGTCTACTTCAAACTACACTCGTACAAGACTCATATTTTATTCTTCGTATTTTCTTTACGAAATAAGGTTTTAAGGGTCGAGAGATGATTTCATGAAAATTGATTACAAATGTTCTTTTCTTGTTAATTATGTTCAAATTACTTAAGTTCAGATAACCAGTATATTTTTCAAAAAAATCTCAATGGGAACAGTCATTATTCATCAAAATGTCAGTGTCAATAGCCCAATATTCAGTTAAACTTCTTGCTTTGCAAATACAAATTTTGTTCTTAATTAACAAGTTTAAGCTTTGGCATATGGTCATTAATATTAATGATTTCTAGGAAAGCGTGCAATTAGTGTCAAACTGTCTGCTAACTAACATTCCAAAAAGGGTGTTTATCGATTAAGACAACAGGACGATGTGATCAATAAAATCAAAATCATTTAATCGCTTTAACAATTAAAAGGTTCTAGAATAGGTATGTCAAATCAAATCAATCATATATTATATCATATATTATAAAAAAAATAATTATTCATTAATAATCTTCTAAAGAAACTATTGTCTCTTTACATTCCCCACTATGATCCTTGTCTTTTCATTTCATATATGTATTTCTTCTTGCTTTTTACATTTTATTTTATTATGAGTTTGATAGAGAGCATTGAAATATTTTTCTTTTGGATGTTGCATTGTGCATGTTATTTTAAGTTATTTTTTATTTTGTTTCTTACTTCTTACTTATAATATATTTTATGATGTTTGACTGATGTTTAAGATTTTAATCTTTGACGAAAAATAAAATTTGTAATTTTGTGTCGATATCTTATGAGATAAATTTTTTTTTTGTCATAGGGAAAATCAATTGATGAGATGCTTCAGTGTCGATCGAATAGAACTGTACTTTGAGTTGTGCCAATACAAACGGGGTAAGTCACATTTCGTTCTGACATATTTTTTGTTAGCACAATTCTTTGTCTGTATTTTTTTTTTTACTATTATTATTATTATTATATATTGTCAATAGTAGGTCAAATTTATTGAATTTTCATATGCAGATTCATGTGAGTTATTTGTGTATAAAGCTAATTAACTATTGAATTTTGATAACAAATATCATAACCCAATAAAAGTAAAAAAATGTGTTATGAGCTTTGGCATGTTAGTGATGTGATATTCATTGGCTATTCAGCTTCACTTTCTTTGTTTGAATTTAAATTTTTTAATGGAGTTTTCATCCAAAAGAAAGAAGGGAAGATAACAACCCATGTAAAGAAAAAAAGGAATGAATAAAAAATCATATTTTGGTTATTTTACTCATGAAATTTTATTAATTATCTTTGCTTTAATTTTAGTTGATTATTTTAGTTGTTTGATCCATAGTTTATCCCTCCATTTCTTATTCAGAATTTATATTACTCATCACTCAAGTGTCATAGTATTATTTTTATCATGTTATTTTATTTTTCAAGTACAATTTTAACAATACAATTCCAAAAAATATAAAAGAAATGTTGAATTTCTTTTTCTAACAACAATATATTATAATTGCGATGAGTATTATCAAATGAAGTTTGTTTAGAAATGTTATATTGATTGTGGTGGTAGGACAAGTGTTTAATTGATGATATGAGTGTATTAAGTTTGTAATGTATGAATTTAATTAACTTAATTGTTTTTTATTCAAAACATAATATCTATACAAAAATTATTAAAATTTGACAAATTCATATCAAATTTTAACTCATAAAGTAAAATTAAAATCAATTTAGTACTAATTAAGAATCTTCAAGATTACACTTTAGATATTGGATGTCATTGATTTTTGAATATATTTATTATATATTGATGCAATTTTTAAAAATACTTATGCTCACTAGAAAGGGTTACACGCACAACATGCGTGTCCAAATACTAGTATTACTAAAAGCATGAACCAAAAAAATTGAAAGTTAGATTACGCTTTTACCCTTTTTATAAATTGATCTGTTATAGTTTAAATATTTAATGGTATAAATTTAAATAATTGTGTACTTATTTTTTCATGTATAAATACATCAGTGTTATAAGAATAATGTCTACATTTTTTTTTTCCTTAAATTTGTTTCTTTTTGTCTTTTTTTCTCTCTATTAGACTTCAAAATTTAGTTTTCTATGAATGTTTTATTGCCGTAAGTCTTTATTCTTATTTTGTAATTGTTACATTTATTATTCATTACAATTTACATATATATTTCCATGAAATTTTAGTCATTCTAATGTATCTATAAAAATTCACATGAAACACACGTGCGAAGCACGTATGCAAAAACTAGTATATATATATAGAGAGAGAGAGAGAGTTTAGAGTTGCACCCTTGTGCTTTGATAAAATACAGAATGTTATGTATAAAAAATTACAACAGGTCATTTCTATATAATTTAACATCTAATAAAACATCTTGTCTCAGTTGGTGAAAGTTTATTTCCAATAAAAATATCTCAATTTGGTGGTATATTTGTCAGTCCCCACCAAAGACCAAACTATATGGTGGTATGTATCTACTGATTTATTGTAAATAAAAAATACATCTGAGTTTGCTTGGTAATAATTTATTATGATGTGTTTTAGTTCGCACTATCAAAAAGACTTTAATACAATTTTTAATCGTTCAAGCTCGAAAACTCTAACTCTTGTATATAACAAAACAACTACAAGGGAAAACTTTTATATTTTGAAAATTGCCATAGCTCTTTGGTGTAATCAAATTCCCAACTTGTTGACGTGTTTTCAAGTATAAAATAAAAGAAAAATTGTGTGTGATAGTAAAGTAAGAAGAAATGAAAATAAAACATTATGAAGACAAAGTGTTGTTGTTGGGTGAAAAGTGAAAATAGGGACAGTTTTGATTATAAATAAAATATCCTTCCTCTTTTGCCTCTTGTTGTTGTATGAAAAGTCATACTCTTTGAAGTTGATGTTGTAACACAAACAGTTGAGGATTGCACGACAACTTGTGATCATCGATTGCGAAAAGCTGGTAAATGGCCGAAAAGTGAGATGTGTAAATAGACCCTACCACTACCTTGTGAGGTAGAGGGTAGTTTCCGATAGACCATCGGCTTTATTAAACATTGAAAAAGTAAGACATAATACATATATTGGATACTAAACTTGACTTTAAATTTTAACTTTGACCTCCAACTTTCATAATGCACAAACAGACAAAGCTTTAACTATTCAACTTTTAAATAAATAAACACATGAGTCCTACATGGCAAAATACACGTAAGACACCACGTAGGACGGAAAATGACATGTAGGATGACATGTGTGTCTGTTTATTCAACTTTATACAAGTTTAAATGTCTACTAGTGCATACCCAAAGTTGAAGGGCATAAATATAATTCGAAGCCAAGTTAAAGGGTGTATTTACGTATCATGCCAAAAAGTAATACCTTAAAGGAAAATGGAACAGAATCCAATTCTTCACAATTATGGTAGGCCCAATTAAGCACTACAATGAGCTGTTGAAAAATGGACAGGTGCATAAAGCAAAAGTAATTGAATAATTGCCTCAATTATTCAATCAGTCTTTGTTTATTCAAGTCCATACTTTTTAAAAAGAGAAAAGAGGACTGTTTTGCTTCCTGAAAAATAGTTTTACTCATTTCAAGCAATCACTGATCATTCTTGTTTGCAAACTACTCTCAACATTCAACAGGTGAAGTAAAGTACTCACTCTCTTAGTAGTTGAAGATAGATACAGAAAAATTCATCTTCTCAAAATCATTTTGTGTTTCCTTTCAGATTTGAGAAATGGAGATTGGGTTAGCAGTTGGTGGTGCATTTCTCTCCTCAGCTTTGAATGTTCTGTTTGATAGGCTTGCTCCTCACGGTGATCTGCTCAACATGTTTCGTAAGCATAAGGATCATGTTAAGCTCTTAAAGAAGCTGAAAATGACTTTGCGTGGTCTTCAGATTGTGCTGAGTGATGCAGAGAATAAGCAAGCATCAAATCCATCTGTGAGCGACTGGCTTAATGAGCTTCGAGATACTGTTGACTCTGCTGAAAATTTAATAGAAGAAGTCAATTATGAAGCTTTGAGGCTTAAGGTGGAAGGCCAGCATCAAAATCTTGCAGAAACAAGCAACAAACAAGTAAGTGACCTCAACCTGTGCTTGAGTGATGATTTCTTTCGTAACATAAAGGATAAATTGGAAGAAACCATTGAAACGTTGGAGGTGTTGGAAAAGCAAATTGGTCGCCTTGGCTTAAAGGAGCATTTTATTTCGACCAAACAAGAAACTAGAACACCTTCAACTTCTTTGGTGGATGATTCTGGTATCTTTGGAAGGCAGAACGAAATAGAGAATTTGATTGGCCGTTTGTTGTCGATGGATACAAAGGGAAAAAATCTGGCTGTAGTTCCTATTGTTGGAATGGGCGGCCTGGGCAAGACAACACTTGCTAAAGCCATTTACAATGATGAGAGAGTGCAGAAACATTTTATTTTGACAGCTTGGTTTTGTGTTTCTGAGGCATATGATGTTTTCAGAATAACGAAAGGGTTACTTCAAGAAATTGGCTCAACCGACTTAAAGGTTGATGACAATCTTAACCAGCTACAAGTCAAATTGAAGGAAAGCTTAAAGGGAAAGAAATTTCTTATTGTTCTGGATGACGTGTGGAATGACAACTACAATGAGTGGGATGACTTGAGAAATATTTTTGTACAAGGAGATATAGGAAGTAAGATCATTGTGACGACACGTAAAGAGAGTGTTGCCTTGATGATGGGAAATGAGCAAATTAGCATGGACAATTTGTCTACTGAAGCCTCTTGGTCTCTATTCAAAAGAAATGCATTTGAAAACATGGATCCTATGGAACATCCGGAACTTGAAGAGGTTGGAAAACAAATTGCAGCCAAGTGCAAAGGACTGCCCTTAGCTCTGAAGACGCTCGCTGGCATGTTACGCTCCAAATCAGAGGTTGAAGAGTGGAAATGTATTCTGAGAAGTGAAATATGGGAGCTGCGAGACAATGACATATTACCAGCGTTAATGTTGAGCTACAATGATCTTCCCGCACATTTAAAGCGATGCTTTTCTTTTTGTGCAATATTTCCTAAAGATTATCCATTTAGGAAAGAACAAGTTATTCATCTGTGGATTGCCAATGGTCTTGTACCTGTGGAAGATGAAATAATTCAAGATTTAGGCAACCAATACTTTCTCGAGTTGAGATCAAGATCATTATTAGAAAGTGTCCCAAATCCTTCTAAAGGGGACATAGAGAAATTCTTAATGCATGACCTTGTCAATGATTTGGCACAAATTGTATCTTCAAATCTTTGTATAAGGTTGGAAGAGAACAAAGGATCGCATATGTTGGAACAATGTCGGCACTTATCTTATTCTATAGGAGGAGATGGTGAGTTTGAGAAATTGACACCCCTCTACAAATTGGAGCAGCTGAGGACATTGCTTCCGATATATATTATTGGCGATTATCGTTATCACCCTCTAAGCAAGAGGGTGTTGCATAACATACTGCCTACACTAATATCCTTGAGGATGCTATCATTGTCTCATCATTACACGATTGTTGAGTTGCCAAATGAATTGTTTATCAAATTAAAGCTCCTCAGATTTTTGGACCTTTCTCAGACAAGGATAAAAAGGTTGCCAGATTCCATTTGTGGATTGTATAACTTGGAGACACTTCTCCTGTCATCTTGTTCTAAACTTGAGGAGCTACCGCTGCAGATGGAAAAGTTGATTAACTTGCGTCATCTTGACATAAGCAACACTCGGCGCTTGAAGATGCCACTACATCTGAGCAGGTTGAAAAGCCTCAAAGTGTTGGTGGGAGCCAAGTTTCTTGTAGGTGGTTGGAGAATGGAATATTTGGGTGAAGCACAAAACTTGTATGGATCTCTATCAGTTGTAAATTTGGAAAATGTGGTTGATAGAAGGGAAGCTGTGAAGGCAAAGATGAGGGAGAAGAATCACGTTGACAAGTTATCTTTGGAGTGGAGTGAAAGCATTAGTGCTGACAATTCACAAACAGAAATAGACATACTTGATGAGCTACGCCCACATAAAAACATTAAAGAAGTCGAAATCAGTGGATACAGAGGGACAAACTTCCCCAATTGGGTAGCTGATCCTTTGTTTGTTAAGCTAGTGAAATTGTCTCTTAGAAACTGCAACAACTGTTATTCGTTGCCAGCACTAGGACAACTCCCTTGTTTGAAATTCCTTTCCGTTAAAGGGATGCATGGAATCACAGAGGCGATGGAAGAATTCTATGGCAGATTGTCCTCCAAAAAGCCTTTTAACTGTCTTGAGAAGCTTGAATTTGAAGATATGACGGGGTGGAAGCAATGGCACGCACTAGGAATTGGAGAGTTCCCTACACTTGAGAACCTTTCCATTAAAAATTGCCCTGAGCTCAGTTTGAAGATACCCATCCAATTTTCAAGTTTAAAAAGGTTACAAGTTAGAGGTTGTCCAGTTGTTTTTGATGATGCTCAACTGTTTAGATCCCAACTTGAAGCAATGAAGCAGATTGAAGCATTATATATACGTGATTGTAACTCTATTACCTCCTTTCCTTTTAGCATACTGCCAACTACCTTGAAGACAATAGAGATATCTGGTTGCCCAAAATTGAAATTCGAGGCGCCAGTTGGTGAGATGTTTGTGGAGTATTTGAGTGTGATTGATTGTGGTTGTGTAGATGATAATATCATTAGAGTTTCTCCCAGCAGCGTGTAAATTGAGTATTATGAGTTGCCACAACTTTACTAGGTTTTTGATTCCTACTGCAACTGAAACTCTCACTATTTCGAATTGTGAGAATGTTGAAAAACTATCGGTGGCATGTGGAGGAGCGGCCCAGATGACGTTACTGCATATTTTGAAGTGTAAGAAGCTCAAGTGTCTGCCAGAACGTATGCAGGAACTCCTTCCATCTCTCAAGGATTTGTATCTTTCCAATTGTCCAGAAATAGAAGGAGAATTGCCCTTCAATTTACATAAACTCCGTATCAGTGATTGCAAGAAACTGGTGAATGGCCGAAAGGAGTGGCATTTACAGAGACTCACAGAGTTAGTGATCCATCATGATGGGAGTGACGAAGATATTGAACATTGGGAGTTGCCTTGTTCTATTACAGAACTTGAGGTATACAATATGATAACATTAAGCAGCCAACATCTCAAAAGCCTCACCTCTCTTCAATGTCTAAGTATTGGTGGTAATTTATCTCAGATTGGCCGTCTTTCCTCCTTTTCTCACCTCACTTCGCTTCAAACTCTACAAATCAGGAATTTCGGTAATCTCCAATCACTTGCTGAATCAGCACTGCCATCCTCCCTCTCTCACCTGACCATCTCCCGTTGCCCGAATCTCCAATCACTTGCTGAATCAGCACTGCCCTCCTCCCTCTCTCACCTGAACATCTATGATTGCCCGAATCTCCAATTACTACCTGAATCAGCACTGCCCTCCTCCCTCTCTCACCTGGACATCTCCCATTGTCCTAATCTCCAATCACTACCTGAATCAGCACTGCTCTCCTCCCTCTCTCACCTGGACATCTCCCACTGTCCTAATCTCCAATCACTTGCTGAATCAGCACTGCCCTCCTCCCTCTCTCACCTGACCATCTCCCATTGCCCTAATCTCCATTCACTTTCAGAAAAAGGGATGCCCTCTTCCCTCTCTAAACTATCTATTTCCAAATGTTCATTGCTCACACCACTACTAGAATTTAACAAGGGGGAATACTGGACAAATATTGCTCATATCTCCACCATACAGATCGATTGGAAATGCATGTAATGATTAAAACGAATGACTCCCCAACTGATGTAAGCTATTCTTTTCCCTCATAAGCTTTTTATTTCACTTTGCTTTTTTGTTACTTCTTTTCATTTTTAATCATGCCGTGCTAGCTCATCATCAAACACATAGCATTATATTTAACCTCCATAGAGAATCTAAATTTTTTATAGGATAACGATCACAAGTTTTTAGGAAATAAGTGCAACTTCCATTGTCACATGTTATATAATTCTATATTTCTCATTGCTTATTGGTTTATGCTCTTGCCGTGTTTTAATTCACGTCTCAATTGCCACCATGTTTAATCGAAAGTTTTTAGTTCTTGTAATCATCAACCATCCTATGTCACTAGAAATTTTGATAGGTAAAAGAGGTAGACAAAAATGCTAAACATCTTTTTTCTTTCGTATAGCGACCAGACAACTACGTTTTGAAAGGTAAGGGCTACAGATATACATTTGCAGGGTGTTAATCCAACGAGTAAGAAAATCACTGTCTTCAAATATCTTCTCTTGCGTACACTTTTGCAATTTTAAGCTACATTTTGAACTCATGTGTTGTTGCTAACTTAAACATGTTTTGTGCTTAATCAGATGTGGATTTAGAAGAGCGAGTACGACAAGTCTGGTACATCAATTGTCCGTAGGAAGTGTTTCTAAGGTGCTGCTGCTATTTTTACATGTGTTCCCGAGTTCCTTTTTTTAAAAAATCTTTCCACTAAAGCTATTTTGTCGTCCACAGTGAATTTTCAGGTCTGTTGTTATAGGCAAGTCTTTGAGATGTGACTATCAAAGAAGGGCGATTACAATCAGTGTACCGCTGATACTATTTCATGTTTCCAGTGCTACAGTGCAAGCCTCTTTTGTAAGTTGACAAACTCGATTAGTTAATATGTTTGGGACTCAACTACTACTCATTTTGTAAGACTTAAGTACAGAAAATCAAATTAGAATTATAACTCGCGATGGTTGAGTAAACTCCAAGAAGTACTGATATATTTTTATAGTGGATATGTTGTTTCCTCATTCGGTGCTTGATATCCACATTGGAGTCCAACTACATTCGAATTTGCACATTTGAAGGAGCGGCGCTCCTAACATGATTTTTTACCCATTCTACGACTCGTGCTCCTAAATTCTAATTAAGGGTAGAAAAATCTCAACTATCTCACCCCAACTCATATCAATTATATTCAGTATAAAGTCTAAACTAAAATTATAACTATATAGGTGCAAATATTTTTGAAAAAAAAACTCAAATAACAACCAAAATAAAGAAAGAATACTAAATCCTACACTCATTAGTTACAACAACTAAAAAATATTTATAGCCATTGAACTCCTATGCACATTGTACAGCAAAACTCCACTTTCCTAAGTGTACATCATTAGTTCAACACATTCGCAACAATGAAAATATTTTTTGTTATTTTTTCTATTCATGTCCTAGTATGCAGAGCGATTTGGAGACTTACATAGTTCAAGTCGAATCACTAGAAAGCCAAATTTCCACTCAACCGTCAAGAATGGATTTGGAGAGCTGGTACAAGTCTTTCATGCCAAAGATAATAGAAACCGCTGGCTCAGATGAAAAACCACAGTTGATATATTCGTATCATAATGTTATAATAGGCTTCGCTGCAAGATTGTCAGCGAAGCAAGTGAAGGAAATGGAGAAGAAACCAGGATTTATATTTGCGTGGCCTCAGAGGATATTGTCTTTGCACACTACTCATAGTCCGAGTTTTCTTAAATTGCAACAGAACGTTGGCTTGTGGAGGGATGACAACTATGGAGAAGGTGTGATCATTGGAGTCTTCTACACAGGGGTTACCCCTGATCATCCTTCATTCAGTGACGAAGGAATGCCTCCTCCACCTGCTAAATGGAAGGGAAAGTGTGATTCAAATTTCACTGGAAAGTGTAGCAACAAGCTCATTGGTGCAAAGACTTACCCACTAAAAAGTGAGTCACCAAAAGATGAGGCTGGACATGGCACACACACCTCGAGCACAGCTGCAGGAAGTTTTGTGAAAGGTGCCAATGTGTATGGGAACGCTAAAGGCACTGCGGTTGGGATTGCCCCTCTTGCTCACTTGGCCATGTATAAGGTCAGTCCATTATTTGGTTGCCCCGATGCTGAAATTTTAGCTGGCATGGATGAAGCTATTGATGATGGAGTAGATATCATGTCCCTTTCACTTGGTGGATCTAGCAGGCCATTCTATAATGATGTGATTGCACTCGGGGCGTACAGTGCAGCAAAAAGAGGTATTCTTGTAAGTTGCTCTGCGGGTAATGGTGGTCCATCCCATAGCACTTATCAAACGAAGCTCCGTGGTTTCTGACAGTAGGTGCAAGCACTATTGACAGGGAACTTAAGGTCACTGTTATGCTCGGAAACCAAAAACTATTTGAGGGTGAATCAGCATTTAGTCCTAAGGTTCCGGATTCCTCATTTTACCCTTTGATTGACCCTTCACTGAATGCAACCCACATAGGTAGCCGTTTTTGTGAACTAGGTACACTGAGTGACCCCAAAATTATAGGCAAAATTGTTGTGTGGATGGACGGTGGTTATGTTTCCACGATTGGAAAAGGACAAGTTATAAAGGATGCCGGAGGAATTGGCATGTTTCTTGTTTGTACCCCTGAGTATGATTTCACCAAGTTAGCCGATCCTCACGTCCTTCCAGCTCTGTATGTTACATTCAATGATGGAACGGAGATTCATCAATACATCAACTCAACATCAGAACCAACTGCAAGAATTATGTTCCATTGAACAATAATCGGAGATAAAGAAGCTCCGGTAGTTGCTGCATATTCTTCTCGCGGATCTAGCCTAGCTACTCCTGGTATCTTGAAGCCTGATATAATTGGTCCCGGTAATAACATTCTTGCTGCTTGGCATACCTCCGTTGACTACGAAAAATACACAAAATCTGCCTTCAATATTATACAGGGCACCTCCATGTCTTGTCCTCACCTCAGTGGAGTTGCAGCATTGCTGAAAAGCTCACACCGCAATTGGTCCCCTTCAGCTATCAAATCAGCAATCATGACAACCGCTAACACACTGAACCTCGCCAATGTTCCCATCTTAGATGAAAGGCTCCTTCCGGCTGACATCTTTGCCATTGGTGCAGGACATGTCAATCCATTGAGAGCTAATGATCCAGGACTAATCTACGACATCCCAATTGAGGACTACCTGCCTTACCTGTGCGGTTTGAATTACACAAATCAACAGGTGGGAAGCATCGTTAAACACAAAGTGGATTGTAACAAAGTGAAACACATTCCTGAAGCTCAACTAAATTATCCATCATTCTCCATCACACTCGGAGACATTTCTCAGACATATACTAGAACAGTGACTAACGTCGGGGAAGTTAATTCATCTTACAGCGTGGAAATAGATTCCTCACCCGGAGTCACTGTGATTGTTAAGCCCTCTACTCTGAAATTCTCCCAGTTGGACCAGAAGTTGAAATACCAAGTGACGTTTACGAGAAGAGATGATAGCCCTCTACTATTGCTCAAGGATTCTAGAAATGGAGTAGTAAGAAGTACTTTATAAGAAGCCCAATCGCAGTTGTGCTACGACCTACAATTGGTTTTTAGTAATTGGATTAGTGTATAACAAAACTATGTTAGTGGTTTCAATAGATATTGTTGAATAATAAGTGACAAAAGTACTCACACCATATTTTCATGTTACATTTTCACAATATCAAAATGTTCCATCATGAGCTTGTAGTCAAATCTCTTTCACATATATATGTCCTTCAACATTTTACACGTCAAACGTTCACAAAGTGTATATTAGCTACATGACATTTGCGAGCTCTACAAAGAGGAAAATGAGAATGAATGCAAGAACATGTGTCGAAGTTTCATATAAAGTGTATACAAACCTTACCACT